GGAGTCTCAGTTCTCTGTACGTTCTTCTGCTGTGGATGAGGGACTGGAAAGGCCTGGAGAGCTTCTTGACGGCCACTTTCTGACGAAGGCGCACATCATATGCTGAGCTAGAGAGTTAAACAGACAAACGTTTCAAATGATTTGCTCCAACTCAAAACTAAAGTTTCTGCTGATATTGAGACTACAGTCATTTGCCATGATGAGAGGACTGGTATGTTCCTGTTAAATTTGACCTTTTGTTCAAAATGGTATCACTTCCTCACAGCGGTGGACCATATTAAACACACTCTGAATGAAAGCAGTCACACGCACTCTTAAGTTCTTTATTGAACCAAATGCTCTGGATTGATTATTGAATCATGCAAGAGTAATTAATAAATACATAGTAAACAAGATATTTGTCTCAACTTTCAGAGGCTCAGTTGAGACTGATTAGAAAGGCTAAGCTTAATTATTTTACTATTTCAGAAGGCCAATTGAGAAATTAGGTGGAAAAAGCAAAAGAAATTGAGTCAGTGGATAAAGTAATAATTCCTGCAGTGACTCAGTTTTATGAATGTACTTTAGTCTATTGAATTAAATAAATCAAACCCCCCGGCAGGTCTTTAGAACTGGATTAATGAAGGTATTCTTAGAAATTCATTAATCAAGGTGAAAGATGCAGTCCTGGAATTTTCTACAACTGAAGCATGCAATATGATATGGCATACACATTTTATTTTATTATGATTTTTTTTTCTCTGTTGAAGACAAGAGCACCCAACCCCCATTTGGGATGCTCCCATTCCCTGTTTCAACCCCTCCACACCCCAGGTCTGCCCTGCCCCCTTCCTTTAAAATGAATCAGCTCTGCTGTGAAGAAGTCAAATAATCACACAATAGAAAAGGGCTTAACATGAACAATGCAAATTCACAGCTCATTTGAGTAAGAAAGTGTTTGTTTTGGAGTGTGTGTGTGTGTGTGTGTGTGTGAGAGAGAGATTCCTGGGGAATAAAATGATGGACATTAACAGGGTCTGAATAAGGATTGTTCATTCTTCTATAGTTGTAGTGCTTTAATTCTGAACGAATGTGACAATCTGAATATCTACATTCAAATTATGATCACTAATGAATTTGGATATTGTGACTACATGACTATTGCATTGTTTTGCATGCTTTATTAAAGCACTATGGGACCAGGCCTATTATTAAAACAAAACATAATAGCTTAATCAGGCCTCTCATGTCAGATGATACACGGCAATGTCTCTATATGTCTCTTGTCTCTTGTATCCCCAGGCTGTTAGAAATAGCTGAACCTATTCAAATCGACGTGGGATCCAATCAGCAGCAATTAAATCTCCTGTGTAAATCCATTGTTAGTGTTGTGCATCTTTTAATACAGATAATGAAATAATTAGGTCTCAGGTGGTCTCGAGATGTTGCGGAGCATCTGCGTCACTAACAATGAAATGAGCTGCATCGCATAATTTTTCAGAGCTGGCAAACCTCCCAAATAAACGGGAAGAAACACTGGTAATAGCTTCAAAAACAGGACGCCCATGTGATGCCCTCAAGCAATGTACTCTGCTGGTGCTTTTTTTCCCCAATTGCCTGTGGGTTTGGGATATTTGCTAGTTAGCTTTTATTTAGCATTGTCAACCACAGTGTCTTTCAGTACACTAATTTTAGTGTCTGCCTGAAGCGAACAAGACCTGAGAGCCTTGTTTAAAAACCAAAACAGAGCAGGATTGTGCAGTGTCTAGTTCCCTAATCAGTGCTTTTGATGGAGTCACTGTTTGTGTGATTTTATGCTCATTGCAATCAATGAAAATTAGAAATTTTGTTGTATAGATCATTATTAATATGTACAATATTAATGATATCATGAAATAGTTCACTCAGAAATGAAAATTTGTTGAAAATGTACTCACCCTCAGGCCATCCAAGATGTAGATGAGTTTGTTTTCTCGTTGGAACAGATTTGGAGAAATGTAGCATTACATCACTAGCTCACCTATGGATCCTCTTCAGTGAATGGGTGCCATCAGAATGAGAGTCTAAACAGCTGATTAAAACATCACAATAATCCACAAGTAATCCACATGACTCCAGACCATCAACTAACGTATTGTGAAGTGAAAAGCTGCATGTTTAAAACCATCATGCAAAACCGGTCCAAACCAGTTCTAAACAAATATGTGGGTGGATTTTGATGTGAGAGGACAACAGGAGATGGACTTTTTCACTGAAGGATGTTATAATAAATTATGGACACATATTTTGACCATGAAGCAGTGATTTAATGTTAAAACACCTTAATAATGGATTTGTTTCTATAAACACACAGCTTTTTGCTTCACAAGGCATTAATTGATAGACTGGAGTCGTTATTGTGATGTTGTTATCAGCTGTTTGGACTCTCATTCTGACGGCACCCATTCGCTGCAGAGGATCCATTGGTGAGCAAATGATGTAATGCTACATTTCTTTAAATCTGTTCTAATGAACAAACAAACTCATCTACTTCTTGGATAGCCTGAGGGTGAGTAAATGTTAGCAAATTTTCATTTTTGGGTGAACTATTCTTTTAAGCCATTGTTGGTTTCTTTTCGGTTAATAACTAATGAAGAATATATTTATACCATCATGAGTCAGACTGATTTTGACCTGGCTCTCTTAGACGAAGCTGTTAGATCAGTAGCTTGCAGAGCAGAAACAGCAACGCCTGATTACACAACAATTGTGAAACATGGTCAGAAAAAATAGTAGCCTAGGGAAGGGGAAGAGAAACATGTTTACTTGTAAACTTAATTTAGCATATCATCTGGATGATTATGCAACTACTGCTGGTGCATCAAAATGACGTGACGTACTTCTATATAAACTGATTGACATCTTCACAATATTTGCAAATTAGTACGGTGAAAATGGGAAGATGCTGAAGCCAGAAGCTGTGTCACCATGGCAACCGTTTCAGTCAGTCACAGCACGAGGGAGGCTCGAGGGTTCTAATGTTGTAGTTGACATGCTACCTTGTGCAGTGCAATGTAAATCTCTCAGAATGAGTGCATTATGGCAGGATGAAATATCTGGACGTTTTCCCATGCAGATGGACGTCAGATGCTGATGGGGGGTGTGGCACAGGTAAAACTGGAAGACGGTCTCACTTTAAGACCGGAACTGAATAGGCCTAGCATGTTGTCTACTAGAGCAATATTGTGGCACCAGATGGGCATGTTGGAAGGTTCTTTATACAACCTAACTAAACACATTTACAGAACCAGAGCCTTAGTATATGGTCATTCTGTATAAAAACACAAATGTCGTGACTACCATACAGGAAATACCTTGTTTACTTTTAAATACTGCCTTTGTGTTCTTTATAAATTGCCAGATACATTCAGTAAATCAGCTTTTGTTCAGCATCACTCAGATGAAGGCGATTAAATTTTTTTAATACTGTTAATACCTACAGACATGCCACATGAGGTCATACAGACATTGTTGCTGAAGGAATGATTGACGTCTTTCACAATATAAACAAATTTAAACAGCAATGCCAACAAATATAATTTTCAGTATGAAATGTTGGTTCTATTTTGCTAAATATTTTCCTGCCAGTTGTTGATTATCACTGTGGAAAAAGTCAGATTAATGTTTTTCCGGATGTTGTTTTGTCAAGCTTTATTCCTGCCTCACCCTCTCCTCCTCTTGGACGCTAAATTACTAATCTTACTACGACGAAGGCTCGGCTAATGAATATTAATTTATTCATGCTGACGTTGCTTAGTAACCTTCCTGAACGCCCTAGTGTAATATTCATGACCACGCCTTTAGTTAAGGATTCGATAGCGATAGAACGTCGGCGCTTCAGCCAATCATCGGTTACTTCGTTAATATTCATAAGTCAAACCTTCTTCATAGTAGTATTCATAAACTCGCCTGCTGGACTCACCATACTGAGCCATATGCCCCCGATCCAACCGGTGTGAGATTCTGGTATCGTTCTGGCACCTCCCAGACAGTCTTGTTTAGTTCTTGCCGGTAGAATCCCGGTCTTGTCGACATCTCTTCCGTTTAAAACGACGCTCTTTATTACTAAACTGTCAGTAAAACATTAACGCATCCACCAGAGAGATATATGCTTATGTGTGGAGGCAGCAGGCTTTAGTCCCTCTTTTTGCCAGAAATGGGAGGAACCGTCTGTGATGCGTGTGTGTGTGTAAGAGAGAGACAGAGATGGGGGATGGGTCAGGCAGTGGAAATAATTCATTTTAGGCTATTAAAATAAATAATAATAATAACAACATCAACAATAATATATTTTGTTATTATTATTAGTGTTGTTTTTGTTGTTGTTGTTGGTAATAATAATAATAATATAAATGTATACGCCTGTTATCATGACAAATCTAAAATAAACTATTATACTTTTACAAAAATAAATCACTTTAATTAAAAAAAAATCATCTTACCAAGAAGGCGATACAGAAAGCCGCAAACTGCCCAATGTTTACTAGCTTTATTTATTAGTCATCTCAATATAAACTCACAAAGACTGAATGCTGAAAAACATTGAATGAAAATGGTATGAAAATAAACAGCAAATAATTCATCTATTACAAGTATAAATGCCACCAAGAAAACTTAAATAAATACACACACATGCATGTATATATTTCAGAAAAATAGGTTATGTTTATATATTAAATATATTTATTTATCATATAAATTATATGAATATAAATATAGACATGTAAATACATGTAAATAGTT